CATTCAAGCTTAGTAATAATTATCTAGATCGAAGTGTGTTTTTACATGTGTAAGATTAACTATGATAGCAAGGCATAGAGTAAAATAAAGTCCCAGAGTCAAGGATATGATTTCATTGGTAGTTCAAGAGTTCGTCGGAAGTCCGGACGTTCGTTGGAAGTTCTGCCGGAACCAACCGAGAAGTACAGGAGCTTGCCAAAGAAGCTCGTCGGAACTCACCAAGAAGATCGCCGTGAAGTCCAGGAGCTTGCCAAGAGTCCGCTGGAACATTGCCGAGAGATCGTCAGAAGTTCACCAGAAGATCGCCGGAAGCTCGCTAGAAGAAACTAGACTTACGGACTTGTTTAGCTTAGGAAATGTCTTAGAATTCATAGTTAGCATATAATTGGGATTGGAATTGGGCTAACCCAATTAGGGGCCAGTTGGGCCCATATAAGAACTATGTTGGGCCTAATAAAAAGGCCCAAACAGTGCTCTAAGAGGTGACATTGTCATGGCATAGTCCCTGAGACTATATCAGGCGGTTGTACCGCCAGTCTGGGTAGTGGAACCACCCCTAGTAGGGTGCTAAACGGTGGTACCGCCAGTCTAGGCAATGGTACTGCCCAGTGGCAGGGAGCCAAGCGGTGGTATCACTAGATTGGGTGGTGGAACCGCCGAGTGCAGTGTCAGTGTCAAACTAACATTAGTAATGGTACCGCCCAGCACAGGCGGTGGTACTGCCCGAACCCAAGAAACCTAGGATGAGATACTTTTAGGCTCCAAGTTTGAATCAACTTTAGGCCTATAAATACCTCTCTCTCATCCCTAGTTAAGATACACAAGACTTGAGAGTAAAAATAGAAAGAAATGCTATTGCAATCTTTTATGAGCTCCTCTCAAAAGTTCTAAGTGTTAGAATAGTTTGAGAGAGGAGTAAATGGGGGTGTATATCTTCTAAACCCAGTAAAAAGAGAATCGAGTTGTAAAAGGTGGTTGGTCTTCGCCTATTGAAGGAAGACCAATAGTGGATGTCGATGGCCTTGACGGAAGAGGAATCGACGGAGTCGATGTAGGTCACGACGATCGAACCACTATAAAATCTTGTTTGCATTTCCTTCTAGCAATTTACATTAACTGCAAACTGCCTTCAATACTTTTACAAACACACTTTCAAGTGAAGTTTCTAAAATCGATTTTCAATGGATGAGAGATTTTTCAAAACCAAGGTTTTTACCGCTGCACTAATTCACCCCCCCCGCTCTTAGTGCCAGCTCTTGATCCTAACACTAAGCTCAGCCTCACAGGTAGTATAGGTAGTGGTATCACCTAGACTGGGCAGTGGTACCACTGGTAATTAATGTTGTCAAGCGATGGTACCGCTAGAGCCTAGTCTCCGAGGCTCTATCAAGTAGTAGTACCGCCAAACTGGACAGTGGTACCGCCAGACTAGGCAGTGGTACTGCCAAGTGTCAGCTTTGTTAGGTGGTAGTATTGTCAAACTAGGCGGTGGTACGGCCCAGTACTAGTAGTGGTACCGCCAGTACCCGGAAACCCAAAATGAGATACTTTTTGGCTTCAATTTTGAAGTCATTGTGACTATAAATATCCCACCCTTTTCTGCATGAAAGGGTAATAAAGTTCAATCAAAGTATGAAAAAATCTTTAAGTGTTGTGATGTAAAAGTGTTGTAAAATTGTAAAGAGTCCTCCTCTCTCTCTCTCTCTCTCTTTAGTTTTGCAATTATGTAAGAAGAGGTGTGAGGCTTGTAAGGGTTGTCTCTTAATTTTTTTTAAAGGAAAAAGCACTGTAAAGAGGTGGTTGGTCTTCGTCTATTGAAAAAAGACTATTAGTGGACATTGATGACCTCCACGAAGGAGGAATTGGAAGTGGATGTAGGTCATAACGACCGAACTACTATAAATTCCGATGTGTTCTTTCCATACTGCTTATTTTCTTTACTTGTGCTTCATTCTATTTTAGTTCATTACAAATTGTCCAATTCCCTCTTCTCTACTCACCTACAAACTTATTAGAGACAAACATCTTTTCAAAACGGTCCTTATCGAACTAAGGTTTTTTTATCGTACGAAGTTTTCTGAAATTATTTAAATTTATCATTTTTATTCGCTGCACTAATTCACCCCCTCTTAGTATCGTTCTTGATCCTAACACAACCATGGGTCAAATATAAAAGATAATAGACTTATTTATATGGAACATGCCAAAGATAAAAGACAATAGATTTATTTATATGAAAAGATCTAACCACTGGCTAAAGATAAAAGACAATAGACTTATTTATATGGAACATGCCAAGAACCTTTCATCTTAATTTTAGTTAATTTATAGATTTTTAGTAGTCCTCCCTCCAGCAAACCAAAGCCTAGTTGAGTTCAATCCAGCAGCAGCAGCTCTCATAGATGGAGAAAGGATTATGGTTCTTTGATTTTTACTCTTTGATCAAGTTTTGAACTCTTTAAACTTATCCGTCTCTACATATTCTTAACACCTTCAAATCCTAAATGTGTAGTTGTGGAATAATTTGAATGCATAGTAAAATTGTATATTGATGTAAGTGTTGTTTGGTAAAATTATATTTTAAAAGTCTATTAAATATTATGTGACAAATTTATCCTTCTAAAATTTTAATATTTATTTAAAAATAAATATTTTTATTAAAAATAATAAATAAAATAAAATAAATAAATATACATAATCTTATAAAACAAATTTTGTATGATCAGATATCTAAAAAATAAAATATATAATCATATAAATGAATTAAAATAATCTTTAAAAATAAATAAATAAAATTTTAATTTATAGAAGGAATAAATCATATTAGTTTCTCATTAAATAATATTGATAATCTTAAGATCCTAGATAAAACGATAGGATATTTTGAGAATTTAAAAAATTACATTAGCATCCAACTGAAATGAAATGTTAATATTGTACTGAGATAGTATTAGCATTTAAATATTTGTAATGTACCATCCAAGCTAAATATAATTTGAAAAAAATTTGCTAAGTATCAATTCATATTTAAAATATTTATTTAGCCGTCAATGCACAATTATTCACAAATGCACCTTACTCTCACATGCACCATGTTATTTGTTTTCAAACCTAGTTCAAAATTCAGAACAGGCAAAGACTTAAATCAACTTATAATAATTTAATTACTAAAATATGAGTTAAATATTCTAAATTAATAATTCATATTAATCAGTTAATTAGTCAGTTATCCCATAAGATCATGACAAATACACTTAGATTTTATTTATTTCTATTAATTCAACAAACACCATTAATTTCCACCACGCTCGATAAAAGCTGGATCAGGATTAAAATCATGATTTTTTTGTCACGGTGTATTCTATGCGGATTGGATTTCTCTAGCTTTAAAATTGGCACTTGGGCATTACTTCTTATGTGGTTTGTATTGGATCACTTTGGCACATCTACCTTGTGTTTCGATTACCACATGAGAGGGTTGACCGGGTTGGAGATTTAAAAGGTCACACACGGTAAGTAAAAGATGTGATAGGGAGAATATTAGTCTTCAAGCCAAGCTCAACGGGTCGCATCTCAATCGGCAGAAAAGATAAAAAGAACTCTAATTGATGCTCCACCACATCATCAAAATCCAAACAGTAAATACTTCATGAATATTTTTTATTATATAGAATATTCTATCTAATTGTGAGTAGTTGTTACGTGCAGCACCCTATAAAAGATAGAGATAAACATAATAATCGAGGCTAAACCCTCTACTTCTCGACTCCTTAATCAAGATCATGCTAGTTTGCTCATTGAAAGACATCGATTTTTATGCAGGGATGGTGCTTCCGGATAACATCGATTTGGGAGCTCAGAATATTAGGTTATTTGGATCATAGAACCATTGCTTCTGTTGAGCGCTTATTTTCTGTCCTTTCGATCAGTGACATATACGAAGGTACCAAATCAAATTGGGAGAGGAATGTGGAATGCTATTTAATGAGATGGTTCATGAGATATGTGGGAGTCGAAAAAGGATGACAGAAACGGAACGCACGGATGCATGTGGACTCCTGTTGTCTTCGCAATAATCGAGTTAGAGTAGTCAGGAAGCATTCGGATTCATGTCTCGTTGTTCGTTTCTCAGCAAACTAGTGGTTGACATGTCAATTTTTATGGAATCTTCTGTCGCCTCAACTCACTTTAATTTTTTCTTTTTTTAATAAAAAACCTTTTCCATTTTCCCTCCCCGTCAAATAGTGAGAGAAAAAAAAAAAGATATACTATTACCCCTATTTTGGTCTCTAAGCCCTAAATCGTTTTAAAAAAAAAACTCATGCTATAAAAATAATAACATTGATATTTGAATTTTGGATGTATTTTTATTAGGGTGATTTTCCTTGCAAAGCTTTTCTTTTTGGGTTTTTCTTGAAAAGTATTCTTGTTTTTATTTTTCTCATATGGTACCATTATTTTCTGTAATACCATAATACCCCTCATCACCGTTTGTTGCCTCGGCCTTCACCCTCATCCGTCATCTCCGCTCTTGTCCTCGTCTATCACTATTATCGATAAGACCCTCATTCGTCATTTTCTCTGCATCCTCATCTATCGTTTTCACTCTCATTCTCGTTCATTAACCTCGAGCGCATTCTTATCTTTGGAAGTTTCACCATCGGCCTCTCATCATCGCTAACATTAACCCCATCGTTTGTGGCGAAGAGAGTGTTAAGAAGGGTGAGAGCATGGGTATAAATAACATATGAAATGTAATGATTACCGGACAATGAGCAACGATGAAAGATATTATGGATATTATAAAAAATAGAGACATCATTTGAAAAAATAAAAATAAGGACTCATTCCAAGCAGAAACAAAAAAATATTTTCATGAAATCATCCTTTTTAATAATTTAAAAATTAAAAGAAAGAAATAAGCCATTAGAAACCGTTCTTGGCCCCAACTATACTAACGCCTTTTCGGCTTTATCTCTCTCGGCGTTCCACTTGTTGCTTCTGTTCGTTTCTGCTTCCTTTTCGAAATCATGTCAGGGAACTGAAGCAAACAAGATAGAACAGAGGAAGGTTTGGACGACCCTCTTCCGCGTTTCTCTGAGGCATTGTGGTAAGTTAATGTCAACTTCATATGATTCAAATCCTGTTCTCGTATTTTGGTAGATTTGCAATTACTGCTTGCAACTATTTCTGTCACTTTGCAATATGGATTTCTATGTTCATTTTTGCTGTTCATGAAGGTCTTCATGGATCCTAGTAAAGGAAGTTTATGAGATCGAATCTGGGCACTTGTAAGTTGATTTAGATTGGTTTGATTTCCTCGAGAATTCTGATTGCTACGATTTGAATCGAGTGTTCGATGAAATAGCCATTTTATATCCATCAATAGGTACTTCATGGCAAAAGGAGGGAAGTCCTTTCAAGATACAGAAGGAAGGCCACAGCGCTCTCGGCCGATGAATGAGAGTGACGAAGATATCAACTGTTTCACTGATGCAGAGGACGAGGCTTGGCATTCTCCATGTAATTCAAGTTTTACCTGTTCGGCTTCCGACATGTTGCGCTTCTCCTGTGCTTCCCATTGCGAGATCGATGGATCCCCTGAGGCTGGCAGTAAATCCTATGTCTCGGACCGTTCCCTTCAGGGCGACCTGGAAAGTGGGATTTGGGAGATTAAGAAAGGGGATAAGGATTGCAGGATTTGCCATCTCAACTTGGAGGAAGCTGCTCCAGAGTCGGGTGTTCAGATTCTGCTGGGCTGCTCTTGCAAGAATGACCTGGCTATTGCCCATAAGCTGTGCGCAGAGAAATGGTTCAAGATCAAAGGAAACAAGTAAGCAAAACTTATTTTCTCATATTATCCTATGTGAATATTTTGGTCCTTACTGTGTTCTGTAAATCCTCGAGAAAAATAATGTTTCAGTTGGCATTATAACATTACTGTTTTTCTTCATAAATTAACAGAACAATGTTTATAGCAGCATATGCTTTGATGTGGAATTTGCATTTGAGGGACTCAAACTATCAGTAGTTGATGCAAATGCTTGTTGCATGAAATCCCAATCCCAGGCATTTTGTAGAATTCATTTGTTGTGTATTTGGTGCTTCATGAACTTGATGCCACCCAAAGTGTGAACAAAAAAGGAGCATATTCTTCTTTAGTTTTGTAAAGGAAGGAGAGACAGAAAAAGTAGACGTAAAATATAAGAGGAACTAATAAAGTAGGGAATCCAGAAACTTGGTCAAAAAGCTAACTTGGTGGAGATATCAAAGTGATGAAGTAGATCAAGATAAATATCCGGGACTAAGATTTAGAGACTTTCTTTATGGTTCCTGTTTAAGTTTTCTGTAGGTGCCAATTTTTTTATTTTTCCATAAAACCCATCAGATGTCTATGATACAGTCCTTTTTGTTGTTCTCTGCTTAATAAGCCTGTAGCCTCTGTCGGTTCTAGCACAATTGATGCCACTTGGGTTGGTTTCTGGTTGAAGTGCGTATTTATTGCTGATGACATCAAGCTGTTGACTTGTTCCTAGCTAGTTCTCAGAAATGTCTGTATTTTTTTTAATCTATCCTGCTTGGAAAAGATAGCTTTCCTTGAGCTCATGTTGCAGTCTTCACTCTTCATCATTTTTACAAGTTTGAAATTTACTTATTCTATGTCTTCTAGTTTCTGATTTCAACTCGGGTTCTGTTAGTTTTGTATTGTCAATGGTTCTTATTTCTCCAACTTCAGTTTGACTATGTTTCATTTGCTTGTTTTTGCTTTTTCGTTTTCGTTTTTGGAGTACATGAGATTTCTATTCCAGTTCAAAGTATAGAAAGTTGTCAGGAGAAGACCAAGACCCATCTATTTGCTATTTAAATTAATAAATCTATCTAGCAATCTCTACTATCTATCTGGGTGTCAAACACAGATTCTTTCCTCCCATTTAATTCTATCGAGGACAATATGATTATTATTTATTTTTTATAAATCATTTCATTATATAATTTCTATTTAGTCAGCAAATACCACGAAAAACACATCATAGCATTTCTGTAATAATGCTAAATACCTGCAAATTTGTCCTGCCATTACATTTTGCAAGATTTATTGGCTAAGGGAAGTTGTTGGAGTTTCATTTAGAAGAAATTTTGTGGTTTCAATCTGTAGTTTTTCATGTTATACATCTAGTGCTATTATTGTTGCATCTTTAATATTTTGAATTTCTCTAGAAATGGATTCTTGTTAATACCATCAAGCTGAATTATGACTCATTTTTCCTATTTGGTTTTCATGTCAAACTCCCTTAGTACTTGTATCTTCTCTTTTTTATGACCAGAAAAAGTTTCATTGGGTCATTGCAAAATGGTAACAAAAAGGTAATCCGGAGGCACTCTTGCCCTTGCCTGCCAGAATGGTTGACAAAACTATACATTCTCCCTAAGTAAGCTGCTGTATGGGCTAGAGGTAAGAGGACCGAGTGACCATAAATTTACAATCTATTTCCTTAGTGTCAGTCAATCTAAGCCTTAGGAGCCAATGGAACCACAGCATAACCATTCATCATATTTACAATGTGAGATGCATCAAGGTGAACACAAATGTTCCTCAAATCTTCTTGCTTAGCAATGAAAGTCTTGGAGCATTTATTCATTTGCAAGTCTAGTGAATGGATCTACTGATCAGCAGTAATCAGTAGAGTTTTCCCTTCTGGATGGTCATTTGTAACCAGTATTTTTCCAATAAAGTATCAAATAGTGTTATCTAAATGTACAACATATACTTGAAAATTTTCTTACATATTTGAATTTTCCTACTATGTTCATTGCCCTTTTTCACTTTTTCTTGATTGTTACCATGTACCATCATATCATTACATTTCTTTCTTGGGGGATTCACGGCAATAATGGGAATACAAGATCTTCACCCACACCAAATAGATGCAACTTTGAGATGAGGGGAAAAAGTGAAAATTGGATGAGTTGTTTTATGGTTAATTGCAAGTCTGTCCAACAAAACAATTGATATTTGCCAGCAGTTAACACTTCCTCTATTTAAAACAGTAGATAGAGAGCCATTCATGTGCAAATACTTCCTTCCGTGATCTTTTTGGCCGAGACCAAGAAAGTAAACTGTCCCAAATGCTCCAAACAAAGAGATACAAGGGTGTTCTTATGCTAGACAGCAAAATACAAGTTTCTTCAATAGCTCTTATTTTAAGGTTTCAACATTCTTATTATGAGAGAGATGGATTGCGCTATTTATGTTTACTTGTTTTAGATGATTATCTCTACACTTGTTCTAACTTGGTAATTGCATTCTGAAGACAACAAGCCTTGTTAATATGGGGCATGCAATATGGTTCCAAGATTCCTGTTTGGATCTTTATCACCATTTTGTCACATTATTCAATGAAAATCAGCTTTATCTCATCAACAAATAATCTACTTTGATATCCTTTCATCAATTTATTTTCATATAATGCTTCCAAAATGCTTTATCTTTGTAGATTGTCCTTTTTGGGATTCTCTTGATTTTTCATTTTTTCTTGCCAAAGTTTTCGTGTTTTCTCATGCCAGGACTTGTGAGATTTGTGGCTCAACTGCACAGAATGTGGTGGTTTCAGATGAGGCCGAGTTAATTGAGCAATCAAATGAGGCTGATACAACAAGAGCTCCACATACACAAGCAACCGAAACACACGGCTTTTGGCAAGGCCACCGCTTTCTCAACTTCCTGCTTGCATGTGTGGTGTTTGCCTTTGTTGTTTCCTGGCTCTTTCACTTTAACATTCCTGGATGACTGGATATGTTATTAGTAACCAATATTATGGTAAAGAATTTATATTTTTAACTGGTTCATCAAATTATGTTGCCTAATAGGGACAGAGATCTATTTGTCAGCAAGAATGTAAGTTTCTCTTGTCAATTTGTGGCAGTAGAAATCAAAGGAAATGCCTCTCTTGACATTTGGATTTTGATGAGTTGGGTGTGATTGTTTTAGAATTAATTAGAATTAATTTGAGCATATGATTTTACAATGATCTATCAAAATTTTTATCAACTAAGCTAGTCAATAATTTATAATTCAAATTTTTTTGAATAGAATTATAATGTATTAGTTTCACGAGCAAAAAATACTACAAGTCCTTTCAAAACATTGTAATTGTTATGTCATACCCTTTTTTTATTATTATTTTCTCCAAATAAATAAAAAATAAATATTATAATTTGTAAAACTATATAGATCTAAATCTAAATTTAAATAAAAAAGTGAAGACTTATCACTAATAGATCCGCTCATGGAATAGGATGGTTGATAATATGTCATTATGAAACAATAATTTTATCGTCTTAATGGTATATCTAGTCATTAGATTTGAGACACCAAGAATGTCTTATATGAGTATTTTACTCTTTGATACCAGACTTATAGACCTAGAAGTTCCAGATCTAGCATAACTAGTTATCGGGAGTGGTAGTCAACCTTACGAGGGTAATTGAGTGTCGATAGAGGATCATCCACGCTCGGTGTCATAAGACGAATATCCATGTGTTCTTGCTTAGGCAAATCCCTAGCCACCCAGGGTCATTCAGATTGAGAGAGAAAGAATTCTCTGGAAGAATCCGATTAGAGTGAGACTCGAGTAGAAACCGTATAGGTCTGACAACACCATGCCAGGTATATAGTCTTTGGGATATTAGATGGATGATGGACTATTGATATATGATAACTGAGGACAAATAGGTTAAATAGATTGGATTCTCTTGTATCATTTGGGGACTACGGTGTAGTGATCTAGTACATCCGCAATCGATGAGTCAAGTGAATTATTATGGAGATAATAATTCACTGAGCTAGAAGGAGTTCTGATAGGTATGACTTATAGCTAGCTCAATATTGGGCCTAAAGAGTCATACACATATACTAGGTGTTGCGACGAGTAGAGGTTCGGATATGAGATATCCGTTGGAGCCTCTATCTTATTAGATATCTAATAAGCCCCTAAATTACTAGATCCTATGGATGAGATCCAATAAGAGCCATTAAGAGATTATTGAGTAGAGATCCACTAGTTTAAGAGGCTTGAGTAGTTGGATGAAGATCCAATATCCAATAGGGCAGAATCCATTAGGGTTAAGTTGACGGGAGCCTCTATAAATAGGAGGGAACCAAAGGGCCATAGGCTAGGCCTTTTTGGTTGCCATCTCTTATTCTCCTCTCCCCTTCTCCTCCTCAGCCAACAACCCCTTAAGGGGCGTGTAGAGATTTTGGTAGCGATTTGAGGAGTGTCTTCAAAGCCCCTTCCATGTGAATCACCACTCGAGAGAAGGACATTTGACCTCCTTCATCCTCTCCCATATATCTGTAGGATTTTAGGGATATATGATCTCCCTAGGTAACACATCTTTTTTATATGTATAGTTTTTATTTTACAGTTTTTACGTATCAATCTTTGCACGATGATAAGAGAATATTTTTATATAGAAATCTTGAATTTTTGTTTCTGTTCTTCCGCTATGCTTATGATGTCGCCAGTAGGGTGGTGATGACCACAACATAGAATGAATGGTTTAGGATTTTTTTGGATGAAAAGATAATTTTATTGCTCTCAGTTTAATAAATTCCAAGGTTTATCCTTTCTGTCCAAATTATATAAATACCATTCATAAATCATAAAATTCTATGCATATCCCATATTTTAGAAAAATACTAGTTAATTAAAAGGTTTAATTAACAATTATTATTTATCTAGTAGTCCTATATAATGATATGTACATGTAATGTATGATATGGACGGATGATCATGGGTCGTGTGATGTGATGTATATATATGATCTGCTATTATTATTGAGGCCTACAAGCCTCTCTTTTTTCTTATTTATTATCGGGCCTGTATGTTTGTGATTATATTATGATTACACGAGGAGGCGCAATGAGAGCGTGGAGGCGATAGTGGGACCCACGAGGTCAAGACGGATGATCATGATGCATGAAGATACGCTAAGATGTCGATGGAACCAACGAGAACGAGACGGACAATCATAGGGTATGAAGATGTGCCGAAGCACACATAGATCATGATGTGAGTGATTGGGCCCACTAGCTCGGGCTTGATCACATTAATTTGTGGTCTATGATCATCTCGTGTGATTACTCATGTGATATGTGATTGTTTATACACATACTAGATATGTATATATATATTTGCATATGATATAGATATATATTAAATATGTATGTGTGTAATGTGTCATGGGAGAACGAATCAAAATCCCCTCTCTTGATAATATTAAGTCGGTAAACGTGAGGCAATTAGATTAACCCACGTAGCCATCTATTATTATAGGGAGAAATCGATTCCCGACATGGGTTAAGTTGGTCGAGTCCCTTGAGGCTCACCTATATCGCGATTTGATATCTTACCTATGGCATAGAGATGTCACCGATGACCTAAGGATGTGGTATGCTTGGTCGAGTCCCTCGAGGGCATATCATCAAATCAGACTTATATTGTAGTGATGGTGATGACATAACCAAACATCATGATTGGTCGAGTCCCTCAAGGCCATGGTGGTTCGAAGGCCGAATAGGACAGGAATCATAAAGAGTTTTGATTGCTAAGAGTTGTCTACCTTTTCGGGCTGAACGTGATTGGTCAAGTCCCTCGAGGTTACATTAAGATGCCGATTGAATCCCAATCCCCACTAGGGATCCGCCGGGGTTCTCTAATTCATATATCGGAAGGAGTTGTGTGTTTCACGAGAAAATAGTGGGAGTAAGTTAAGATAGAAGTTCTTTTCTTGATTGTTTATTTTGTTGAATCTCAGATTTTGATGATGAAATCAATTGGTAAATTATGTGATCTAATCTATATGTTGAAAAAAGTATGCAGGATTAACTATAATAGCATTAAGACATGAAGCAGATGATGAGCCAGAGTCAAGATCGAGACTTCGTTGGGAGTTCAAGAGTTCATCGGAAGTCTGAACGTTCATCGGAAGTTTTGTCGGGATTAACCAAGAAGTTCAAGAGCTTGCCAAAGAAACTCGTCGGAACTCACCAAGAAGATCATCGTGATGTCCAGGAGCTTGCCAGAAGTCCGCCGGAACATTGCCAAGAGATCGTCAAAAGTTCACTGGAAGCTCATCGGAAGAACAATTGACGTACCAAAACAAGAATACTTTGTTAAATATCTTAATTATTGTAGTTAGACCTTAGGTTGAGGTAGGTTTGGGATGTGATCCTACTAACTCAGTTAGGGGCTAAATGGGCCCTTAACAAAGCTGAATTGGGTCGGATTGAATAGCCCATTTAGCACCTAAAATCATGGCCGATGGTGGTACTACCCCTGTCAGGCGGTGGTACCGTCAGAGCTCAGTCTCCGAGCTCTGTCAAGTGATGGTACCGCCTAGATTAAGCAGTGGTTCTGCCTAGTGTCAGACTGCAGGCGATAGTACCACCCAATAATAGCGGTGGTACCGCTAATACCCCGAAATCTAAGGATGTGACACTTTTTGGCTCCAATTTTAAAGTCATTGGGGCTTATAAATACCCCACCCTTTTTTGCTTGAAAGGGTACGAAAGTATTAAACATAATCTTAAATTCTTGGGGTGTTAAAGTATTGTAAAAGTGAAGAGTCCTCCCCTCTCTCTCTTAGCTTTGTTACCATCCAAGAAAGAGGAGTGAGGCTTGCTAGTCATAGGTGCCCAGTAAGCCAATCACGTGAGTGATGGCACGTGTGACTTGATACAGAATCTTTTTGCTTATTATATTTTGGCATATATCACTTTATAACTATTGTATATATGTACATATATATTGTGATGTCCTTGGATTTGTGTAATGGGAATCAGATCGTGATGAGATCACGAAAATGAGATGATTCACCTTTAAACACATATCCTAAATAATCCAGGTCATAGGTTACTTGAGAGGGACATCGTGATAACCGGACAGACTGGTATGCTGTATACCCATCCATATGATGGATGCAACTGGTCTCATAGTTGCTCGTGTAGGGACACTAGGGATACAGTACATGTGCTTATTAGAGAATGAGTTCACTGATTGATCCGCTTATAGAATGCTAGATGGTTGATGATGCCTTATTGTCAGACAACGATTCCGTAGTCCTAGTGGTATATCTGGTCCTTAGACTTGAGACACCAAGGATGTCCTGTATGAGTGCTCCACTCTTTGATACTAGACTTATAGGTTTGGCTGTCCCAGATCTAGTACAGTTGGTCATTGGGAGTGGTAGTCGACCTTACGAGGGCTATTGAGTGTCGATAGAGGATCATCCACTCTCGGTGTCATGAGAGAAATATCCCATGTGTTCTTGCTCAGACAAATCCCTAGCTAGGGTCATTCGGGTTGAGAGATAAAGAGTTCTCCGGGAGAATCCGATTAGAGCAAGACTCGAGTAGAAACCGTATGGGTCTGACAACACCATGTTCGATATACGGTCTCTGGGATATTAGATGGATGAGGGACTATAGGTATACGGTAACTGAGGATAGACAGGTCCAATAGATTGGATTTCCCTATATCGTATAGGGATTACGGCGTAGTGGCCTAGTACGTCCGTAGTCGATGAGTCGAGTGAATTATTACAGAGATAATAATTCACTGAATTAGAAGGAGTTCTGACAGTTATGACTCACGACCAGCTCAATATTGGGCCTAGAGGGTCACACACATATGGTAGGCATTGCGATGAGTAGAGGTTCGGATATGAGATATCCGACGGAGCCCTTGTCTTATTGGATATCCAATAAGCCCCTGAATTATTGGATCCTATGGACGAGATCCAATAAGAGCCCATGAGAGATTATTGGATAGAGATCTATTAATCTAAAAGGCTTGGGTTATTGGATGCAGATCCAATACCCACTAGGGGAGGATCCATTAGGGTTTGACAGGGGACCTCTATAAATAGGAGGG